CATCTGAATGTACAACAAAAATTCCTAAAACACAGAACAAAAATAATTATGTTATTCTAACCAGAGGAATCCAATATAAACTTAACAGATACCATTGAAGATGCATAATAAATTACTGAACTTTTCTTTTTTTTTAAGATTTGAACTGACAAAGGGGAGCATCTCAGCTTCCAAGGAAATGTTTAGTATATACACTCTTGGTAATAATATAATCTATTTTTTAATAATTTCTGCCTTCACTTTTCATTTGCAGGGGAAAAAGTAAGCAAATTAACTATATGTGTGTACAGCCTTTCTGAGCTTTTATCACATTTTTGCATAGTCTTTAATCCTATGTTTGGAGTAGCACCTTACTTTACTATCCAAATAATAAAGCACAGCATGTGATTGGAAGACTTACCCTTTTTCCATAATGTACTTGATGAAAGCCATACAACAGCATATCATAAATATTAAGGAGCAGGCAAGAGTTGTACATGACACAGCAAGCATTTCGTTTATTTTATAACTTTCTCGGCTGGTTTCTTGAGCAGTGTTCCTTTGAAGCAAGTCAGCATTGTCTGACACTACAACAGTAAAGCACACCACACCGCTAGTATGTACACTGGTCATGTCCTGGACAGATTGTCGTATGTAGAAACGGATTATATCTATGTGATTTGCAAATAAAAACAAGCACTTCTTAGTTAAAGGACTCGTTCTCTGAAAACCCAAATCCATTTAGTTGTTGATGAATTGGCCTAAAGCACATCTTCCAGTTTTTCTAGATGTGATTTGTATCCGTCATAAAGAGTAATTCTGACAGAAGTTTAGCAGGCCCCAGGGACTGTGGAGATGCTACTACTCTGAGTTTATTAGGACCCATTTTTTCACCTATGAGGAGATGGGAGGGTCTTAAGCATCCATGGAACCATCAATTCATCATGTTCCTAATTTACTGTGTGCAGAAGCCATCAAGACTGCTATGCTATATTCCTACTTGGCATTTCTCGGAAAAATATATTGCTTGGATGGTATCTGATGTCATTGAGATCAGGAACTTGATTATGTGCTCTTGTTTGATGATAAAAATACCTTTGATGCAATTAAAAAATTCCATTTCTTTTCCTTATTTCCATTTGTTATTTAAATACATAGCTAATTCTTTTGTTTCAAGAGAAACAAGTGGGATTATAAATAATTTGCAAGCAGTTGATTGTTCTAGAAGGATTCAAAACAATTTGTGTGAGACTGCTGTAACACACTTGATTGCGACATGGTTACTTCTCTTGCCTGTGAAAAGGAATGAAACTCCAAGCTGTCTCCAGTGAGCTAGTCACTCTTGTCTTTTAATATTTTAATATTTTTTACTGCTTTTTGCAGCTACCTATGTGTCTTAGTTTTGCTATAGTTTGTATAAATCTAAAACCCCCTCAGTTCTAATAAGCAGTACCAATCAGATCTACTGCTTTTAGCACTATATAGTTTTTAAATGGTGACTAATTCTCAGTCAAAAAAGGGTTCCAAACCAGTCATAAAGCAACTTTTACCTATCAAGGTGAAAGTCCCTGTTTCTGCACTTCTGTTACTTTCAGAGACATCCTTATAAACATTCATAAATTTTACTCTTGGATCTCAAAAATATAAGATATAGTAATACTCCAGTATTACACAAGGAAAACCTTACATTTAAGCAATAACTTTTTTATTTCACCTTTTCTGATCCTATATACAAACTCACAAAAACCAGACAAACCTTTTAGGATAATTTCCTTACAGTTTGGTTTATAGCAGTCCTTTTGCTTACTAGCCCTTTGTTAGAAAATGAAACGAGGTTCGTATATTTTTCCAGCTATTCAGAAATAGAAAAAAGCTAATTTATTTTGCCAGAGATGCAGAAAGCATATACTGCTGTGTCATTCATGAATCAATATGGATAAAAACCATACAATCTCAGAGGCCAAATTTTGCACACAAATTTTGCACACAAATGCATGTCTCCCATTCAGGTCAGTAGAAACTTAATTTCATCCATGTATTTGTGAATATGTTTAACATTTTCCCTCAGTTGCAAAGTACTAATAACATGTAACTGGAGGTAGGAGACCAAGAGATACACAAACTAAAGCATTCTTCAAGGTTTTAGGATAGAAGCATGTTTTCAGATTCAAGGTACTTATTTGCATAACTTTTTCTATAGCTTGCTAATACGGCCCATGCTGTTTCATTGTCTTGGGACTCTGGTTTGTTTACCTGCTAATAGGTGTGTGTCTCAAAGATAGGGTTTGCCTCATGATTTTTACTTCTATGATTCTCAGATGAAGATGTGACAAAGTCTCTTGATTTCAAGTTTCTTTTTCACTTCATTTTTGCCCACCAAATTTAGAATTGATGTTGTTCTTATACTGTTTAGTTAGAAGAATTGAACTTATATTTAATCTTTTGCTGAGTCCTCTACTATACCATCCAAAGGTGGTTCTTCACTATGGTTCTGTGTGACAGTGGTAAGGTAATGGGGTCCAAATCTGGATTCTGGAAAGAAAAAAGAACCGCTGCAAAGATTATTCATCACATAAAGCAGAGAAAGAAAAATCAGAAAGTTCAAATCTGAGATGAAAGGGGAGGAGAGAGAGCATACCTAGAAAACCTGCTGCATTATTGTCAAAAGCCTAAAAGCTAGAAAAATCAGAAATTAATGTAGTTCACTAGCAAACATGATTGGAAAAGTGGTAAGACCTGCTTTATTTAGAAAAAAAACCCTGTATGTTTTATTCTGTATTACTTTGCAATTCTGCAGTGCTTAAAAAAATTGAGAACTTGAAATAGCTATGTTATAAACTAACAAATAGCAAAACAATACCTGGTCTTGAGGTCAGTGAAACTAGGAAAATCATGTCAGATCAGCATGTCAAAACAGATTTTTTCAGTATGATGGTACAATACTTGAAACCTCAATGAAAACATCAATTAGCTGCTACCTGGTGCCTGCTCTTCCTGAGAGCTCTCCTCTTCCGCTCCTTTGGTGGAGATGAATTTCACTATAAGCAGTAATAATAAAGAAATGGAAGTTACACAGGGTGAATCTCTTAGAAGCAGAAACTGCCTACTTACAAAAATCCCAATCTACGTATAAATTTTAAGGCTGAGCTATTTTTGCAGAAGCATTTTCCAGATTCATATTTGAGTTTTGATGGCCATGTATGGAAGGCAATGTGTCATTTGTCTATGGTTTTCTGAATGGGTTAACAGTTTATATATGAAACAACCTTTCATGCTTCTTGGCAGAGCTGATGAATGTAACAGCCAGCACCAGTATGTCACTTCCTACATACAGTTAGTCACTCAGCAAAAAAAAACGTTACTATTATAGTCCATTTTCATAGTCCTCAATTGTTAAGTCTAAATTGTAACAGAAATATCTCAAAAGGAATGATTCAGGCAGGACTGGAAAGAGACTGTGTCCATCTGTACACAGTGCCATGTGTATTGACAGACACTGTGGCGTTGCTTATTTTCTCTAATTAATTCAGATGTGGGCTCTCTTTAAACATGAACTGTCAGCTGTGTTGATGATCACAAAGGTCACCAGTGAGCAGTAGATGGGATAAGAGGATTCTTGAAACATAGTGAAATGAAGCGGGAACTAGTGGGATCTGGATTACTCACGAGGCAAATTATGTCTATGAACGTATTTTGCTAAAAGGTGGGAAGGCAGCAGGACATTCATTCTCCTTTCTCACCTGTCATTCTGTAACTTTGTTTAGTAGTTTGGAACTAATTTAGGATTTCTTCATGTAACCTCTCATCAATTTGTCTTGTTCGTAGAACAGTTGTATCGGTAACAAATGAATGCAACACAAGATATAATTTGAGATGCATAGCTGCCTGATATGTGTGCCAGGCTCTTCTTTCTGCACCTTACTACTACTTAAGCAGCTGTATATAGTTTCATACTGCTTAAGTGGTATCTTCTGGTACTTACATTTCTCCTGCAAATTCTGCAGACTCTTCTTTAGCAGATCCTCTCCATCATCAAGTTGGGACACAGATGTCCTTGCAGAAATTTCTAAATGAATGCATATTAAGTTAAACTCCTATCTCTGTCATATAAGTCTGGCATTTTCCAAAGAGCACAATGGGAGTATTCACAAAAACAGTCACATGCAAGTGAGAGAGGTGGTTTTCAAACTACCTGGTTGTGCTTTAACTGATTCGTGGCTCATTAAATGCAGTCATTTTTACAGGGAAACCAACCATTCTCTTCTTTGAAAATTTGAATTACGCTATTCTGTAACTGCCTAAAGTGCAATTGAAATGAGTGTTCTGAAGGCCACGTATAACGTTTCTTCCTCTATTTTTTATTCATAACCTTTTTTGTTTCCAGTCTACAGCATGCTTATAAATGAATAGTACAAATTTTGAAGGTGCTCAATTCAAGGACTGAATGATGCAGTTCCTCTCTCCCATCTTCCCCTTCCTGATGCATTAGAGGAAGAAACAATTAACTAAAATCTTTTCCTTACAGGGCTATTTTATAATTCCATTCTTTAACATTATAATGCTCTGGTATTACAAATCTATGTATTTCAAATGTTGCCAGAAAAGGAGCCAAGCTGACTTCATCCTTGAGATGTTCCATAGTCCGCTGTTTCCTCTGTCCCACCACAGACAGGCTTTTCATTTTTGTTCCATCTATAAGTACTAGGCATGCCATTGCGTGATCAAAGAACAGGGTTCTGTTTCAAGGACTTAGGTAACAGGATCCTAGATGCATTTATCCAATCCTGTTACTACAAACTCCCCACTGAATTTGTGTGAATGTATAAGCCATTCAGTTGGTTTGTGTGGAGACAGCGACTCCTGAAACGATATTATAAGCAGGGATTGCAAACATTAAGTTCCCATTCTGTAAAAGGGAGAATTCTACTTCACATAAAATTTTGAATACTTGATCCTGAAATGACAGAATATCTATACTTTGCAACTTAATTTCATTTTACTAGTTTCTATACTCTTCTTACCAGGATTTTGTTCAACATTAGTGGTTTTTTCATCATCATCATCTTCTTCCTTCTCCTCTTCCAAATAATCTCCAGGTAGTGCTACTTTGGAGTAATCCAGAAAATACTTAGTTAATAACTGCTTAGTCAAATACATATTTTTTTTTAAAACTGTATTTGCTGAGGATTTGACAGTCTGCAAAATACGTTTGCTGCAACAAGTGACTGAAACCAGTTTAATAAATTGTAAGGCAATATTGTTCACTTTTTTTTGAAATGCTGTTATTATTTAATTAAGATCTTAATAGTCATACAATACTGTAATTCTAAATATGGCCTGTTTCTGACAGCTGTGTACATACACTGACATTCAGGAACTGTCCCCTGCGTCAGGCTCCCACTTCACTCTAATCTGCAGCCTTCAGGGTACAGCATGCCAATCAGAATATTTCTCAGTCAGGACAAAAGTTATGTGTGCTAAGAAAACAATATTCGAGTCTTGGGCCTGGAGTGTAAGACAATGGCTGCAACGGTCAGGAAACCTACAGTCCTTTTTTTACCTTGTGAAAAAATTTTTTTTCCCCTTTCCCCCTGTGAAACAGTGAATATCAGCTGGAGCCACCCAGAGAAACAGTAGAGAGTGTTTCAGTGTTACTATTTTACAGTTCCTGATGACTGAACTCTGTCGTGTATCTGCAGGATTGACTGTCCCCACACCATTAGAAAGCTCAGGGGCAAACCTTTCGCAAGTCTCAATTCAACTCTTGTCTTGGTTCACAGAATTGTGAGCAGATGCTCTTCTCTCTGGTGTTATGAGCTCTAATGGTTGTGTTCTGACTGGATGCTGTGTGGTTGCTGGAGATGCTGGACAACCTCTATGCACTTTTGCCTCCTATGCGCTTTTGCACCTGCACACAGGCAGAACAAGTCAAACTATAGAATATGTTTTCAAAACAACAGTGCTACCACAGTGGAGGGGAATGGTCTTATTAAGCTCTCTGAGGAAAAACTTCATTTAACTAAAAAATAATGGAAGGAAGAAATACCTTCTGCCTTTTTTATATCTAGCAGAATGTAAGCTTTGTAGTAATTTTTACTGGAATAAAGTTTTGATTAGAACATACTGTCAGGTGAAATAAACTTTCTGGTAGTCTCTGCGGAAGTTAGGAGGGATAAAAAGACAAGCAAAATGACTTGCATAGTGGAAACAGTGCTACTGCTCCAGATTATCCTGGTCTCTATGGCTGCTCTTCTTAGTCATGAGAAGTGGGATATGCCTTCAAATGTGGGGCACTGTGACGTCATTATCATGCTGAGAGCGGTCATAAGGCAGTTAGAGGACAAGGTAAGCCTGCCCGTCTAGAAAGTCCCAACAAATTACTCTGGTGTAAAGAGGACACTTTAATATAATACAATCGTTCTTTACTCTTACAAATGGAGCTACAGAGAGCCCTATGGATGTAGAAGGACTGAACAGCTCCTCTCCCACATAACTCCTCTCTGTTAAACCGTGCTGTGGGTTCCTCAGGGGAGGAGATGCATTTAACACTGTCATTTGTAATAGATCCTATTTTAA